GTATGGCAGTTGGAGGAAGGCCCCTTCCTGCATGTTCTAGGAGTGCTGTTTCTGGGGTTATCGTCAGAGTGCAGAGGAAAAGGCTGAGATCCCACTCTGGCCAATGTTTTTAAACGATCCTGTATTTAAAAGGGGGAACTTCTGGGCTCAATGCCCAGCTGCATCTTTTTAAATGAACTTTTGAGTACCAATTATGTCCCAGGGGCTTTCAAGATCTTTACCTTATTTAATTTAGTTTACATGAGGTTATAACTGATCCTGTCTTATAAGATATGGATTCAGAGACTCATGGTGGCTAGGGAACTTCTCTTAGAGACACACAGCCAGACAGGATATAATTCCTGCAATGCTTACCTCTAAGGCCTGGGTCTGGTGTCCTCCACCACAGCAGAATCTCAGCCTCCTTCAGAAGCATGGAATGATAACCTGGTACACCTGCAGACTATGAAAGGTAAAGCCATTTAGAATAAAGTGTAGGGATGTGACCCTAGGGTGCCAGGTTTCTGAGCAACCTCTGGCAAAGCATTTCCTGGGGAAACAGCCTGCAAAATAGCCCTTGCTGCACCTTGATGAGTTTCCATTGTCAAAGACAGGTCTATTTGCATGATGATTGACTGACAGTTTTCTCATCCCTAAGGATTCTCCATTTCTCCTTTTCCCTCCCCTACCAAATCCTCCCACCATGGGCTGATAAGATGCCAGGTGAGCATTAGGAAGGGGAGAAGCATACAGTTGAACAATTCAGGGTCATTTGCACGCAGTGGAGAAGCAGCTGTTGGGCGTCCTGCTGATTCCCTCAATGTGAACCATTCTCTGTCAAGTCCTGGGCCAGGGACTGCAGGGACTGGTGGGCTCAGCCCCTGTTCCCTGAGGAAGGAAGCCACTGCAGTGTTGCTCCAGCCTACACCCTGGCTAAATCTGGACCCAGAGGTCTACCCAAACACTACTTGCTGCTCTCTTCCCTTGGTGTCCCACAGACAGTGGACAATCAGTTTTCTAGCATGGAATCCTGCTCCCTTTTGAAAATAGCTTTGTCCCCCACACCCTGGATTGATGAGTGGCCTTGACTCACCTTCATTCAGGTTCACCTGGAGCCTGCTGTACCCAGACACCTTCCTCTCCCCCTCACAGTTCATCTCTTTTCAAGTTCCTCAAGGTCTTTATCACCTCTCACCTAAATCCAGCCATAAGTTTCCCACTGGATTCCTCAGTTCCCCATCACCTCCATTCTCTGAGTATTCTTTTTAGAAATACAGATCTATTCCTACCACTGTCTTGCTTAAAATTCCTCAGGGACACCCCTCTACCTACAGATAAAGTCTATAAATTATTTACTGTGCTAACCAAAGCCCTCTACAACTGAGACCCAGCTAATCTAAGTGAACCAAGGTTGACATGGAGAGTCCCAGTTGAGGATATCAGGCAAGTTGGCCCCTGGTGCCCAAGCAGAAACAGACTGGCTATACTGTAGCTCAGAGGTCAGGTTCAAGGTAGCTAGAGTTACAGACTAGTGAGCACTGCTTTCCTGGTCAAACCACAAGCATGGCAGGGACCAGGATGACTGGTCCCATCCTGGTCCCATGACAGGAGCACTGTGCCTGCCTACAGTGGCTGGATGAGGGCAGACCCAGGAGGCCATACCTGCTCTGGAAGAAGGGGAAGCACGAGGACCAATCCTACTTTAGGAAGCTCTTATTCCTAGGGAGGATCCCAGGAGACCACCTCTACTCATGGCTGTCCCGTCTCCCCACCTCTGCAGGAGCCCTGCCCTCATCGGCTGCTTCATTGTGGACCGGCAATACTTCCAGGAGATTGGCCTCCTGGATGAAGGCATGGAGGTCTATGGAGGCGAGAATGTAGAGCTCGGTATCAGGGTGAGTAGGGTTTGTTTTCAACAGGACTGACCTGAGCTCCCATGAGGGTGAGAACTGGGGATGGAGTAAGGGGGCTTAAAGTTGAGGATCACAAACTCAGTTTGAATGTTCATCTAGCCCTGGTCCATGTGTGCCATTGGAGCCAATAGCAAGGAGACTCAAGAATTTCCAGGAGTTTTCAGACATAAATACCTGCTTGGCTAGAGACTGAGGCATCAGAGACTTGAGCTCCAACTCAAGAAAACAGCTTCTGTTAAGTCCAAACATAAGCCCATTGGGATGAGCAAAGCTGTGCTCCAGGAAGACATAGCAAATATAGAGGCTGGATAAGTCACTTCCCCTGGGGGTTTCTCACTCAGATACTTTGTCTTTTCCACAGTGGCCCATAGAGTTTTCTCAAAGACTCAAGAGAGAGTCACAGGGAGATAGACTCATGGGATATAAATAGCAAAACACAACTGAACTCACTCCATGCTGGTCTCTGACTCCACCTGGTGCTTGCCAGACAAATAGGCCAATTCCTACTGCACACCATTTTCCTGCTCCAAAGTGTGGGTTCTTTATAGCTATCTGCTCATGGTATGACTCCCCAAGAGGCATCATTTTGATTCTAGCTCTACAGGCACATCCCCTAGGCTTTCTGTCTCCTTTCCTTTGACCTATGGAGAAATCAACCCAGAATGAACCACTCCCCTCCATCGGAAAGACAGGTACCCTGGTACTTGGCAGGAATGTGATGATGGATAAAATGAAGATGTCCATGTCCAAGAAATAGCCCTGACTAGCCAATTGCTTGAGCTGTAGTATGTCCCCCTGATGGTCCTGACTGCCTTCCCCATGGGGATCTTTAACAGCCTGACTATGGGCTGTTAGCCTTTGGAGAGGACCTGGTTTCTCCTAGTGTTTGTGGCTCTCATCTGAGATTTTCCTCCTCACACCAGCCTGTTTACACCTCCATGGAGACCTCCTCCAATGTCTGGCTAGTTGAAACTAGTGATTCTACTTTTTCACCTTTGGCCTTCATGCCTATATCTGATGTCTCCAAGTCCTGATGATGCTCAGTTCCCACCGAAGGACTCCTGCTTAGGTTCACCTCCTCTTACCTCTAGCCTCCTTTAACTTCCCACTCCACAGAGACAGGCAGGTGGCCCTGGGCCACTCATGCCTCTAACCTGAAGGGGAGACCAGGCACCTACAGTAAGCATCTCACACCTCCTGTGGGACCTGACAGTGCTGTGGGGGCCCAACTTGTCCTCGGACTTAATATTAGGGCTTTAAGGACTGACCACAGGAACAGCCTATCTGAAGCTGAGTTTAGAAAACACTTCCAGATACCTAGGTTCACCAAAACTCCAGGAAATTGCTCTGGAGGCAGTGAAAATGCACAGGCTGCCCAGGGAGCTAATGTATTCATAGAGGACAGCACCTGCATAATCACCCTCATTTCTCCAGCTCTCCCTCCACCGATCATTTATTCACCGTCCGCATCCTCACCATCTCATTTGTGCACAGCTCCTGGATAAATGCTTGCCCCCAAACACAATCTGTTTCACTAGGAACTGCTGTCAGGAATTGGCTGAGCAGGCAGCACCGCCTCCGGTCACTTGTGTTCTCTGGGTAAAAATGTCCAGGAATGGAGAAAGGAATTAGATTTGTGAACTCTGCTTTCAACATGTGTGTGAGTTAATCACAGAGTGGTGGTGATTTCTGACTTTTTTCCTTCTTTAAATTATAAAGTTGTTCTGGAGTGTGGGCCTGGGTGAGGCTTTCAAATATGTGTTAAAATATCTTTGGGTAGTTTCGTGTTCAGGGTTTAAAATACAGTATAAAATGTTGTCTGGCTTTTTTTTTTCTCTCCATTTCTTCCCTCCCACTTGATGGAGATGAAGTGTCACTGGAGTTGAAGGAAAAGTGGCTTTTAAAGCAGGGGCCCAGCCCTATTCACTGGCAGAACTGAGTACACAAGGGAGGGACTGGTTAATTTGAATTCCAGTTCCTTCTTGAAGGGAACAGAATTGTTGATCCTCTTCCAAGAACATATTCCTACTTGTGTGGTTATTAGTGTCTGCCTTTCTTTCACATTTTATGAACTAACATCTCAGTGCCTCAGTTTCCTCATCTAGAAAACAGAATATCTGGCTGAATTACCCCTCGAGATTATGTAAAACTAAAAGACATTGCTTATCCAGAGGCAAATTATTCAAAACACTTACCTATTTTGGAACATAGAAATACAGTTGTTTGCACAATTATTGAATGCCTGCTCTTCTCTGGGAATCATGCTAGGTATTTTTTCTTATGCCATCTATCCATGGAACACCCTAAAATAGATGTTATTATGATGCCTGCCCCTTTTTTAGTTGAGGAAACTGAAATTAAGAGCTTATAAATGTTCTCAAGGTTAAGCAACTTATAAAATATAGAGAACAGATTAAGTTCCAGATCGTTATGATGCAACGGGTACATCACAGTAATTAATCTAGGAATAAAAGGCCTTTGAGCACCCCTCAAAAAATACTACAAGCCCATGCTGTACTTTCCTTCTCCTTTATTCACAATCATATCTACTGAGTCCCCATTTAAAACCTGACTCTTATTTTGCACTCAATTCTAGTAAGCCTTTTTTTTAGTGGTTTCTAAGTCTACAAGGCAATGCAAAAGGGAGGGAACTGTTGTGACAGAATGAAATGAGTGTGAAATAAGAGCTGATGTTGACTAGAAGACAGAAAGATTGTATAATTCATGACTATAAAAGTTCTAGAAATATAAAAATGTGTTTAAGAGCTAGCAAGGAAGCAAGAAATTGTTAGAAACTATTATGAATTACATTGAGTCTCTTTCTAACCTTCTTTACCTAAAAATGTGAACTTATTTAGAAAAATAGGGTCTTTGCAGGTATAACCAGATTAGAATGAAGTAGCACTGGATTAAAGTAGGCATTAATTTTGTATGACTAATGTCCTTATAAGAAGAAGAAAATTTTGACACAGAGATACATGGAGAGAAGATGGCCATGTGAAGATGGAGGCATGGGCTCAAGTCATGATGCCACAAGTCAAGGAATATCTAAGGCTGGAAGAGGCAATTGGCCCTGCCAGTACCACACCTTACTTTCTGACTTCTAGCATCCAGAACAATGAGGTAATAAATTTCTGTTGGTTTAGCAATCTAGTTTGTGGTACTTTTAAAAATAATTGCCCAAAGAACCTAATATAGAGACCAAGAATTAAATGACACAGATGAAGCTATTATATTCAAAGGACCTGGTAACATTTAATCTTATGTTTTCTTAACCATATAGAATGGGCTTGCTTCACCTTCCATAGAACTGAGACCCCAAGACCTATTTTAGCCACATAAAGTATACATCCTCTGTGAACAAAGATTCTTTTAACCCAGGTCACAAAAATTCCCACAGCTAGAGTTCCAAGAATCTGAGTTCACAGTTTTAAAAGCATCATACACCAAAAAACAAAAACAAGAGAGGAAAAAAGTACCAAGAGCCAACAGTACAAAAGTAGTAGATAGTCCTATTTGACCCAAAAGTTCTTCAAGTATTGAATCAATGAGACACAAGATGTAAAGTATGTTGTATAGTACATTTAAATAAGTAAGAGACTGAAAATATGAATAAGAAACAAGTAGCCTAGAGAAATGATTACTGTGCTAACCAGCTTTCTATTACTGTGACAACATATCTGAGATAAAAACCACTCAAGGGAAGAAACAGTTATTTTTGCTCAGGGTTTCAAAGGTTTCAATCCTTGGTCACTTTGGATTCATTGTTTCTGGGCCTATGGTAAGAGAAAGTGTGGATCAGAGTTGCTTACCTCCTGGTAGCCAGGAAGCAGAAAAAAAGAGATCAATACACCGTGGACAAGATATGCCCTTCAAAAGCATGCACCCAGTGACCTACTTCCTCCAACTAGGCCCTGCCTCCTGATTCAGCTGTGAATTCAACAGTGAATTAACCCATTGAATGTGGTTAGCACCCTTCTGATCTAATCTCCTCTCAATTATGCCATTGGCTCTGGACTAAGCTTTCAACACATGAGCTTTTGGGGACATATTATATCCAAACCAAACCATTCAGTTGAATTAAGATAAAAATAAAATTTAAAACATTAAAAATATAAAATTAAAGCTAAAAGCTCAATGAGAAAAATAAATAAAAGCTTAATGGATGAACTGAGCACCTATGTGAACATTATTAAAGTATTGAATCTAGCCATTTGGAAAAATAGATCTAAAAAATTATTTGAAATTAGCACAGAAGGACAAAAGGATATGGGGATGAAAAAGTTGAGGAACACATAGGATTGAGGGAGAGAGTCTAATACCTTATAATTCCAAGTGGAGATGATAAAAGGAGAGGATTAGGCAAAAGCAGTATTTGATTAGATAAAGTCTTAAATTTTCCCGAATAGATTACTACTGCTCATGTTTATCCAAAGCAGGATAAATATGAAGGTAACCACAATTAGACATATCATATAGTGGAACTGCAGAATCCCCAGAACAGGAAGATCTTATTCAATGATAATAGAATAATAGCCGACTGTTCAATAACACAATGGAAGCCAGAAGACCATATAATAATATCTTGCATATGCTGAAAAAAAGAATTGTCAACCATGTATATCCAATAATAGTATCCTTCAAAAGCCAGGATAAAAGAAAGTCAGTTTTAGACACATAAAACTTAAAGATTTTGCTACTGGTAGATCTTCAGGTATAACAAAAATGACCCCAGAGGGAAACCTGAGATAAAAGAAGAATAATTAGCCCCCAAATAGTAAATATATGAATAAACTCAAAGAAATATGAATGGCAAATAACACAAGAATAATGCCTGGTAGTATTATTAAAACTATATACATGCTAACAGTAGCATATAAACTACTGTGACTGGTAGTAAGATGTTTTAAATTGAAGATAGAAAGGGACACTGGCTGACTTTAAAATTTGGTATTTTAAGTCAGTAAGTTAAAATTTCTAGG